TGGATTCCTCCCCTGCTCCCTGTAGGCCTTCCAGGCTAACTTTTCCAGGCCCGCCCCCAGAACTCTCCTTGCTCCTCTCTCCTGGGTCTCCCCCTCCACTGAGTTCACAGCTCTATTTAAGGAGTTCTCTCCCTGATCCCCCTCAGCTGGGGTCTCTCATTAAGCTCCATCACATCCAGCTGGATCACTAGTTTCTAGATCACCAGAGAGGCTGAGGAATAGCTGCTAAGTCACAAGCAAGTCTGAGCCCAGCTTGCCTTAAAGGGCTAGCCAGCCTTTGACAATCCTCCACTGAGGACACCCTGTTTCCACTCCTTAAGAGCTCAAATCTAGGGGTTTCCAATGAGTGGCTATATGAGAACTGTGATTTATTTACTTCTATTTTTGAGTATACATATTGTGCATATTACACCAAGGCTCACAGCCAAAGAAGCCCTGGTGAGTTAAACACAAATATGACAATTAGCTGCAGAAATTAGGATTTTAGAAACTTGGACAAAACTGAAACTGTAAATCCATCCCCTCCGGGCTGCCTTTGCCCTCATTCATCCCCTTCTCTCACCCTTCTTTTTGACTTCTCACTCTCCTGTGACTCCATCTGCACACAATACAAGCATGTTGAGGTTCCCTCATCCTCAAAAGGCCAGCTCTTTACTTCATCTGCGTCTCAGCTGCCTCCATTCTCTTCTTTCCCAGGACTCCAAACTCCAGTTTAGATCCCATCTAGTGCAGCTTCTGCCCTTTTCTCTGAACTGAAACTGTCGTAAGGTCATTAAGAACCTCTTCATGGCCATACCTCAGAACTTGAACTCCATCCTTACCCTCCTTGACATCTGACACTGCCTTTGACACTGTCAATCATACCCTCCTTAATATCCTGTCCTCCTTGGACTTCTGTATCTTCATCCTCTCCTTGCTCTCCTAATACCTTCAGCCTCTCTTTCTGTAGGAAAAGAGAGGAGAACCCAATCTCTATAGGAATCTCTATTCCCTTTATACCATCTTGTTGTGCAATCTCATTCACTCACATGATTTCAGCTACCATCTTTATGCCAATGATTCAGAAATCTACCTTTCTGGTCCTGACCTGTCTCCCTCAATCCAATCCCAAATCTCCACTAGACCTCTGACATCTACTCCTGAACATCTCAATAACAGCTTAAACAACATGGCTAAAAACAAACTATTTATATTTCTTCCTATACCCTTCCCCTTCTCTCCGTTGTTACTATCAATAATTCCATCAACCTCTCTGTCACTCAAGTCCATAATCTAGGAGTCATCTTTCACTCTTCCCTATCCCTTAACCCACACATCCAGGCTAGGTCCAGATCTTATAGCTTTCTACTCAGTTCTGTGTTTAAGATCTAACCTCTTCTTTCTAGTAACACAGGTAAAACTTTCATTCAACCTTAATCATATCCCATATTAATTAGTACACCTCTACCCCGATATAACGCTGTCCTCGGGAGCCAAAAAAAATCTTACAGCGTTATAGGTGAAACCGCGTTATATTGAACTTGCTTTGTTCCACCGGAGTGCACAGGCCCTCTCCCCTCCCCCCCCGGAGCACTGCTTTACCGCGTTATATCTGAATTCATGTTATATCGGGTCGAGTTATATCGGGGTAGAGGTGTATAACTTCCTTCTCTCTAGCTTCCCTGACACCTATATCTCCCCATCTTTCCTATCATTAATCAATTCAAACACAGCTGCTAAAATCATCTTCCTTCTCCAGTGTTCTGTGATCATGTCACCCCCATCCATACTTCCCCTGGCTCGCCATTTTCCTTTCCCACCACATCCAGTACAAGCTTGTTGTCCCACCCTTCAAGACCTTACAAAGCTCTGCCCTCCATACACATCTGCCCATCTCTTATGTTGTCCCTATGCCCATTACCACTGCTCTGCCAAAGATGCTAGCCTTCACTGCTTCTCCTACAACTTTGGTGCCTTCTTGAACGCTGCCACTTATGCATGGAAAGTCCTTCCTGAATTAATTCATAACTAATCCTTTCCTTCAAGTCTCTGCTCAAGACTCATTCTCTTTCATAACTCCTACAAGAAACTGGCCCACTAGTCATGGATAGAATGAAGAACAGTCAGAAATAAGTAATATGTATCTAATAATAATTTAAAAGTATATATACAAATTGTATTTATTTTGATTGTGTCCTTGTTCTCCAACCCTTTATACATCACTTGTCTTCCTAGACTATAAACTCTTTCAGGCAGAGACTGTGTGTGGGTGTGAACAGTATCTAGCACACTGCAGGCACTACCAGAAGGCAATTAATAATTCAATAATAAATGTATAATGTAATTTTATAAGGTACTTAACTTTTGCTGAGCCACTAGGTAGAAGCAAACCCAAAAGTTAACTCTGTTAGCTGCAATTTTGGTAGGAGTTTTGGCAGCAGTAATGTAAAGTTTTATTGTGGGATGTTGCACCATAATAGCCAGCATATTGAATTGTCCAACTGCAATAATACACTTTTCAGACTTTATACTGCTGCAAAAATACTTTCCGAACAGGCAGCTCCTCAAAGATTTCTTTAAGCAAATGTAGCAGTGCTGCAGATCATATGTTGTCAAGATGACTCAGAACTCCAGGATGAGGCAGTGCAATGCCCTTTTCAATTAAGAAGCACCCATCCTTCTATAAGAAAACTATATAAAATCAGTGCATTGTTTTTGCTCTGTTTATATTCCAAACGTCCCTTCCCATCACTACTAATTACTGATTCCTTCAATGGGGCAACAGCCAACTACTATACCATGGGAAGGACTATGAGTGTATCAGGTCGCAGAAGGAGGCTTATTTAGGAAGCAGGAAAGCTTCTAGTTGCACACTGATATTTTAGCAATCAGCAATGGTGGGAAGAAAATAGATCACTTAACATTATTTTTTAAAGCTTGCCTCAGTGTAGAAACTACGCTGAAAATACAATTAAACTTTTTATGTTGTTAAGTCAACAGATATTTCTCTTGTGAGTGAAAGAGATGAGATTAACATTGCATAATGACTTTGTCAAACATGGATGAAATGCGACATCAAATTTTTCAGGAGCATCAAGGTTGGTAAATAAAATATCTGAAATCATATGTATGGAAAGACAAAGACTATTCAAGAAACTAGGGAGGCATGTTAGTCTCCAGTTTAGGCAGAGATCCAGGCCACTATTTTGAACTGTAATGTTGTACTTGATTGCAAGTTTAGATATTTGTAACAGATGTGGCATGTGCTATTGCCATATGTGAAGGGTTCAAAAACTTCAGGGGTCCTCAAGTGACTTTGAAATACTAAGACACAATTTATTTGATTTTTTAAATTATACACATTTTGAAAGCATTTAAAACTGCTGAAAACATTGTGCTATATCATGTCATAAATATAGTCTCAGAATGAGGAAATTCACATAGGATGAAAATAAATGATGCATACAGGTAACTGAATGTGCTATGAAGAAACAATGTATTATTGAATCATACAAAGAGAACACAAATTGCCAGAACTTCCTTCAAAGTTTGTCAGAAGAAGAAACCAAAGAATGTAAAAATTCACTATGTATATATTTTGGATGGAAAATTAAGCCTACCACAATCTGGGATTGCAACAGTCACCTAGAATGCATGATTATTCCAGGATCTTAGTCTATGACAACATGTTCTGAGAAACGTTTTGTAATATTAGATAAAAAGATATACTATGTGTTTTGATATGGATATTTAATTGGATTTACATTGACTAAAATTATTTCCATTAGTATTAGTTTTGTAGTGATAGTTTATATATAAGTGGTTTCACATTAGTACCTAAACAGTAAACACTTGCAATCAGTTTACTTTTTTATATGATCAATTACTGTATTTTTGTTTCAATTTTAATAAGTATGTCCATGCTCATTAAACACAATCATAATGCACAAAATGCATTCAAAAACTGACATTGCACTAATTTACTGCTGTGAGTAATTCTTCAGCAAAGTTGTTGCAAATAAATTTCTTTCTTCCTCTTGGTGAATTTAAAAAACAAACAAACAAGCAAAGAAAATCAGCCTTTCTATACAAATCCTCAATTAGATTCAAAAAGCTAGAAATCATCTCCAAAAAAGCACCTAGGGACCATTTTAAATGAAGAGAAATAAAAAAGGCAATGGAACTATCCCTTCAATTTCTGGATTAATTTTTATAGCGCTGCAGTAGGATTACTGTCCCCTAGAACCCACAGGAAATGAGATATGCATCTCAGTGAGAAAACATTTTAAAGTAAATACTGCTTTTATCTGGTGTACTTGGTACCCTCGTGGTACATTCCTCTGTCTGGATTACAAACACCTTTCTAAACACAATTTCTTACTTTTTCTGTGAAAGTGATTCTGTTCTGATTGTACAAAGGTACTAACATGGCATTCCAGGGTAAAACAAAGCTTTCCTATTTTTAAAATCTGAGTTAAATGCACCCATATTCTTAAAAGCAAATGGATCTACCTAACGTCAGACTGTCACTGATGCAGGAAGTTGGAAGACGCACATCTTCTCGGCATTCATAGATCAGCCACACTCAGGGAACATGCAGTAAAGGATCATTTGGTCTATTGCAATTGCTTGTACCTCAGCCAAGGGGCTACGTAGCTATGAAACCCTCCCCACACCTAAAATAGGTTTAAAAGAATAACCTGGGCTAACCCAGCGTCACCCCTTTTTGCTATTGACTAAGGCAGAGAGGGTCACTCTCAGCAGCAGGAGGGCTTTGGGATGATCAGTGCAATGTTGATAACTGCATCCTGTGTACCTCATTGGTGGGTCGACTGCAAAGCCCCCTCCCCCTTCGCTGTGGTTTCTATGCATGGCGCAGCATCATACATGACTAGCATTTGGAAAGAGCCCATTTCACCGAAGACACGTCTCCGGGGCAACAAGACACCAAATACTCGGCTGCCGGCTCCCACCACTTGAAAAGTCCGAGCCGACCGCGAGAACCCAGCCACCCTCCTGACCTGCTTCCGATCCGAGCGGCTGCTGACCCGAGTGTTGAGCACCCCGTGCCCAGTCTGGGTGCCGTCTTCCGGGCGGGGGATCAGGCGGAGGGGGACGATATTCTGCCTCTCCAGAAATCGGTTTTCAGCCCTTCTCTCCATCTCCGTCAACAAGGCGGCTCCTTGGGGAGGGAGAAATGCACACGATCACCCCGCTGGCCACGCTATGCTAAGCTGTGCTCGCTACAATTACAAATACCCCCCCCCCCCCCATCTCTCTCGCTCTGCGTGGAAGGGGGGAGAATAGTGTCTCTGAGCCATGCTTACAGTTCACAGGGCACAGAAAGCGATGTGGTGCGGGCAAGATCTCCATCTTAATGGGGCCTTTTAAAAAATGTACCTTTACACACACACACACACACCGCCTTCCGCCTCCAAACACATAGACATGAAATGTAGCTCGTGTTCGTAGCAGCTGCATGATGTGTTAATTGCACCGGTGTGGTTCCTACCATGCACCTGCCAGACACATAGTTACCATTGGAAAGGGTAAGCCCCCAATTACAGGTCATTGCATGCGGCAATCGTAAACGGTGGTAACTTACCTGCCTGCCTGGAATGAACCAGAGAGAAGGTCCCCAAGGCACAGAGCATCAAGGAGAGCAGGTAAGCAGCCGGCTGCATGGCTGTGTCCTTCAGTTCCCCCCACCCACCCGCCTTGGAAATTATCAGAGACAGGTCAGCATGGTGCAATATTGAGCAGCTTTGCGCTCTCGCCGTCCTGTGTGTTCTATGTCCAGCCGTGCATTGCTGCTGCTCCCTCAGTACTGCATTGTGTTTTACTGGCTTCCGTTAGCCTTCAGGATCTTTTACTGCATTGGCTGGTTTGCTGTAGCTTAAGTGAATTCACGCTCCTCCCATCTCTCCTCATCCACATTCAGAGCCCTCTAGTAGAGAGACTATCAATAGCCAGCTAGGCTTCCTGAAAAATCGCTCTCCAGGACTTTGGAGAGGGAAGATGAGTGAGTGAGGTTAGCTGGGAAATGTAGTTATTAAAGCCCTGCACTAAGGACATTAAAAATTATACTGGTCAAAGCATTAGAGGAAAAAGTATAAGGCACAAACTTGCCCCAGCAGGGGTGCACTCAATAATCTAGTAGGTTATTTTTATCTCTAGTTTCCATGACACCTGTATTATTATTGACATGCCACTTTGTATTTTGTTTAAAATGTGTCAGTTGCTGAGATTCCTCTTTGACGGGTCCCCCTGGGGTGCCACCTGGAGCTGGGGTACCACTGAGCCCTCTGACCCACCAGCCTGGGCTCCCTCTCACACTATGCTGCTGTGACAAGCTGCAAAGACCTCCAGCCTGCACTTTCACCAGCATTCACACAAGTAGGGACACACCCCGCTGCACTTACACACAGGCTCTCAAACACCAGCTTCCCAGCCTAGGACCCCAGAGCAGTACCATCCTGCCCTGGTCAAATCTGGCCAGTTTATGGATTTAATACCCGGTCCACCTCTCCCTTAATGTGAAAAGAACAATGCACACTTGTGGTAACCAAGCAGAGATTTTCCCCAAGCACTCCAGTCAAAGCTTACTGGTTTAGATTAAAACATAAAATAAATTAGATTTTAAGTGATTATAAGTGATAGGAAATAGATCAAAGCAGATTACCTAGTAAATAAAACGCGAACTAAGTCTAAGATACTAGAAAGATAGGATATGAACTAGCAAATCCTCACCCTGGCTGATGAGACAGGTGGGATGCAGATTCTTAAGGGACAAGCTGCACTTGCTTTACAGCTTGGAATCCCCAGGTCTTTCATACACAGACTTTAGCCTGGGTCCAGCACTTCCCCTAGTTCAGTCTTTGTTCCTCAGGTGTTTCCAGGTGTCTTCTTGTGTGGGGAGTGAAGAACCAAAGATGATGTCACTCCCTGCCCTATATAGCGTTAGCATATGATGGGAACCCTTTGTTTCAAAACTTGGTTCCCAGACCAGTTTGTGGAAAAATACTGATATCCCAAGATGGACTCCAGAATCATGTGGCCTGGTCACATAGCCTTGTAGAGTCATAGCAGCCATTACTTACAGGCTGTCTGGAGGGTTCTCAGGAAGGCTCACCAGGTAGCAGATAAGCTTCTTCTAAGGCCTGTTGTTTTCCCTAATGGCTCATTGCCTTGAATAGACTCTTCCCAACCAGCTATCTAGACTCAAAGCACCTTGTCTAGTGGGCATTACCCAGGTGTAACTACATTTGAAGTACAGATACATAGTCAATATTCAGAACTTCAGATACAAAAATGATACATGCGTACAAATAGGATAATCATATTCAGCAAATCATAACTTTTCAATGGCACCTCACATGACTTATCTTGCACAAAATGCATCATAATTATCATAACCATATCATAATAATATGACTGTGAAGAATATGGGGTCTAGAATATTGGGTGCAGCATCACATCCTCGATCAGGAGAAAACAAACGCCAGAAACCGTACTCACTGAACAGGTAAAGAATGGGTGACCCTTTTGGTGGAATTTAGTGGGACCTCTGTGCTGGATCACGGTCTCCATTGTCTCCCTTCTGCTTCTCCCCCATCCTCAAGAGTCCACATCCTTAACTATTCCCTGCATTTTCCCCCTTCTCAGTATGCCTGTTTCCTTCTGTTCTGCCCCCTTTCCTCTCTTTTAGTCTGTTCTCTTTTCCTCCCTGCGGACTCCCCCTCCTGCAGAACACCCACAGGGAATTTTTAAAATTGCATACAGAACAATACTGTTCACATTAAAATGTACTGTGAGGAACCTCAGGGTGAGACTGAAAGGTATAAAGAATTCCTCGTACTGTAATCGTGGCATACCCAGGAAATCATCTTTCCTCAGCAGAGCAGCCTCTACATGTGACTCATATTCTACATTCCCACCCACTAGCAATTGTATGGAAGTATTAAATTATTGCAAAATGATTTGACAGTCTTCAACTGATCCATTTTTCAGAGCTTGACAAGATTAGAAACTGCGTGAGAAAAAGAAAACCAACACTTTCCAACTTGGCAAAAGGCTGACAGTGGGGTACCCTTAAAATGACCCAAAATTGAGATTAGTCAAGAGAAGACTGTCAGGAAATTCAGAGGGACCTAAGTAAGCTAGGTGACTAAGCAACACAGTGGCAGATGAAATTGCATTGACCAACTATGACGCTTTGGGATTCAACCCAGACCAGTAAGGCATTGTGTCACTGCCTGCCCCACAACTCTGGTGCCAAGCATGCAGGTCATACCCTGGCTTCCACCACTATTACTTTTTGAGAAGTGACCCCAACACCTTTCCAATCTTGAACTTCCCCAAAAACTGTCACCCTGCAGTGTCTAGCCCTCTAACTGAACATTTACAGAAGTGATTAAATGTGTTGCTCCTTTAAATAGACAATACATCGCAGCTCATTAATTTAACTGGGGGTTGACAAACACTCATTTCAATCACAGCACTGCATTGGTTTATAGTAACAGTCAAACAAGTTTATTAAACAAAAATTCATAGGTTTCAGTGATACCAAGGATCAGGAATGAAGATATAAAGGGCTTCAAACAAAGAAAAGTAAAAAAATACTCTTCTAAAGACTAATACTTAATGCCAGCAAGTTACAAGCTTTGCCTAAGCAGGTTTCTCACCTTACTCAGTTCCAGAGACTTCAAACCCCTTGGTTGAAGGATCCAATGCTCTGTGATTTCAAGAGTTCTGGCCCCTTGAACCTCTCAACTGATGGATGCCCAGACAACACTTCTTTATCTTGCTGAGGAGAAGACACCATTCTGTCTTCCCAAAGTTCATTGATCCTCCTTCAAGAGACAGGAAGTCCTCCTGGGAGTGGAGTCTCCATCACCTGTTGAGATAGTTTCTTAACAATCTCCCACAACTCTCTAGGTTGATGGCTTTGTTCACACTTTATGTAAATATACCTTCAGTGTCTCTGCCTGATGACGAGGTAGGTTAGACAGCAAATATACATTACTCTGTCTAGGACAAACTGGACTTATGCATTGTGTGCCAAACACATTTTAAGAACATAATTCTAGGACATATTTATAACATTTTGTACACACCTCATACATACATCATGCAAGAATATTAATGATCAGTGAGTTATTAGTTTTCCAATGGTATATTACATTTCCCATGATATATTTGGGTTTATATCATGACAACAATGTGTTAGGTGTAGTAGGTAGGACAGGCCTCTCACAGAGTAGTGAACCACCATTGGACCTCTGTGTCATACCAACACAAGGTAATAAACATTGGAAGGCACAGTGTGATGAATCCAGTAAACAGAAAACTGATGTTAGTCACCTCTATTTCAAGGACAATGTTGACAATCATAGTTTGTACTAATGGGTCTTATACATGACTCCATAGACCAATTCAGGAAGAACGTTTACCACACTGGTCACAGAGCCATTTGCCTAGGCTCTGTGATTGAGCTGCACGTTGTTTTTGTGCCAGGCACTATGCTTCCATCTGCCAACATGATTCTTCTCAAAGTCCTGGATGCCCACCCATATAGGTGTGGCCTCATGAAATACAAATCAATCACTAGTTGCTCAATGGTCAAGTCAGAAATGTTTTTTTTGCCTCTGATAAGAGGGCGGGGGGGGGGGGGGGTGGAATCGGGATCAGAGTCCATCCCGCACATCACCTTCTGGCCAGATAGGAGGAGGCAGAAACTCTATGAAAATACTGTGAGCCAGTAAGTCACCTGGCACTTTGGGTAGGCAGTGGTGGCATGGCAAACCAGGAGCATCAGGGAAGCAGGACGCAGGGAGAACAGCCCACAGAACTGCATGCAGAGCAGGCTTCAACAGAAGCCAGGGAACCCCAGGGGGAACAGTGTGTGGGGAGGGAGTTGACGGGAGTGATAGTTTCTTGTTTTGGAGTGAATCCCTGCAGGCCTTCATGGCAACCATAGTGGCCCTGATAATAGAGCTCACCACCACCTACAAGGCAATCTGTAAAGTCACCAAAGCCTAGCAGCTGAAGTGCCTTCAGAACTTGCCCCTGGGTTGCAGTACTCGTATGCTACTCGTATCTTAGGGTCCAGCAGTGAGCAGCTATAATAATTACACTAAGTTGAAATACTCATACATATTGCTGGGTTTTAAATGACCTGTAACCATTCAGGAAAAAGACCAGAGGTGGTCACTATGGACAGTTCCAACGAAAACTGCTGCTCATGATACATTGGTAGACAGAAAAGGAAACAAAATGATAGGCTGTATAAAGAATGAGTCAGAAAATATAATGCTATTATATAAATCAATGGTACATTGCTGGGCTCCAGCAAGGGTTAGGAACCACACCTGACATGACACCTCTGCCACCTCCTCTTTCAAGCACCCCAGCCTGCCAGACTTGCACTGACTCCCCTCCTGCAGAGTACATAAGGAGATAAAGCAGCTTAGCAGCTGGTTTTTGCCTTCTGAGTAGATGATCGCTCCTCACAGTTCAGTGCTGCTGATAGCATTCTCACCACCTCCTGCTCTGTCTTTTTAAGGGTGGCAATAAGGGATCTGGTGAAGGAAACTCAATGAACTTCCTTTTATGGGAATAAAACAGAACAATATGCAGACTGGGAGGGGGCAGGCAAAACGATGGCTGGATAAGCAAAAGATGGCCAAAAATAGACATTGTGGACAGTGTGGTGTACATGGAAATTTCTTCATCAACGGGGTGGGGGTAAAAGGCATGTTATGTGGCAAGTTGTGTGGCCACATATTTGCACTGAGCAGGTGACTCTGCTCATACTCTACAAGCAAGGAAGAACATTCACTGGGAATGCACTCTAGGTGCATGGT